TGGGGAGGGGTTGGATCAGCGCACACTCATTGGACACAACCAAAGACTTGGACAGCAGAGGCCATCCGCATGGCCAGTAACCCAGTAAGATATACTCAACATCGTTAGTTGTCAGGGAAATACAAATTAAAACCATGATCAGATGCCACCACATACCCACCAGAATGGCTAAAATAAAAGGACTGAAATATCAAGCGTTGACAAGGATGGGAAGCAACTGCAATTCTAATTCCTTGCTGGTACAAGTATGAAATGGCGCAACGTGCACCTATCTTATGACCTAGCAATTCCTAAATAAAGAGAAATGAGTGCCTCTGTCTACAAAAAGACACACACAAATGTTCATAGCAGAATTCTTAATAACCAAAAAGGAGAAACAACCCATGTGCCCATCAGCAGGCAAAGGAAACCTTGTAGGTTATTCATAGAAGGGACTACTATACAGCCATGAAAAACAACAGACTTCCGAGTAGTCTGCAACCACTTGGATCATTCTCACGCATATCAGGTTTAGTGAAAGAAGCCAGACTTCAAAGCATACATATGCTCTGTACTTCATTCATTTATATGAAGTTCAAGTTCAAGAAATACTCATTGATGTTTATAAAAGTCATAGTGGTTACCTTCGTTACCTCTGGAGAGGGGGCACATAGACTAAGGAAGTGCCTAAGGGAGTTTTAGGAGGGTCTGGAAATGTTCTACATCTTGATGTAAAGCATCACTGAGCTGTACACTTAATGTAAGAGCACTTTTACGTGGTATACTTAAAATTTTTTTTTAATTTAAAAAAACCATGCAAAGTCTCTCCTGTAACTGTCTTCAGGTGGCTTATGAGCATCCGTTGGGGGAGTCGGTGTAATCACTGTCATCCAGTGTCATGGGCGCCGTTGTCAGGTTGGCATGCAGAAGATGCGGCCAGGGCCCTGGCCATTCCCCAAAGGCTTGCTAGTCCTGGTCCAAGAGGAAATGAGCGAGCTTTGGTGGATTCCAAGGTCCTTGTCATTCATAGGCACACCGATCTCCAGGGCATGTTCTAGAAACTTTTGAGGGCTGAGTGCATGTTAAGGAACAGTGTAACACTGACGCATGTCTTGTTGTTTGTCTTGCCCCAATCCACGCAGAGGCAGAGACTCATCAACTCAGCGAACGGTGTGAGCAGAAAACCACTTCAAAACGGGAGGCAAGAGAACATCAAAAACGGGAATGTTCCCATGGAAAACCCCGAAGACCCTCGGCAGGAGCAAGAGCGGCAGCCCCTGCCCCCACCGCCACCCCCAGAGCCAGAGCCGGTGGAGACTGCCATCCTGTCCCCCTTCTCCATGCCCGGTGAGTTCCGAGGGTGTGAGGCCCTCAGGCGCACTCTCCGAGACTCCACCAGGACGCTCCTGCCCCAACTCTGCCACCACGCTTCATCTTGAAAACAGGGGTTCTGTGTAGGATCACAGGGCTTCCTCGGAGTTTCTGGATTAGAAACTCCAGGGCATGTTGATCACAGCTACCCAGGGCCTCTTCCCGAAATTCAGGACCTGGTTCCCAAACCAACAGCCTGGAGCAGGGCCTGGGAGTCAGCATTTTCAAACCTTCTCTGTGTGTCCTGGGACCTGACCATGTTAGGAATGCTGCTCCTGGTCAGCACCTCTCAGCCTTCTCTCACTTGAAAGGCAGACCCAGAGATTGAAATTTGTCTCCTCAGTCAAGTTACAGAGGGGCCCAGCACAGGGATTCAGACCCCCAGGACACCCCTCTGCTGATGAGAAGGTTGAGGGGACCTGATGAGTCTCATTCCTCATCTAACACCCTGGCACATCAGCACACCTGCTGGGACACTGGGGAGCAGAGGTCATGCTCAGCCAGCTTATCTGGTGGCTAAAGGTCACATTGTAGTAAGCTGGGAGCTTGGTCCCTGGGTCTGGGACACTGAGAGAAAGGGGGTGACTGTCTCTAGATCTCGGGAACCTATATGAGATTACCTGTTTGGATACACCAAGAGAGATCTCTGCAGAGCAGGATCCTGGGGGTGGGGGGGCTGCCCCACCTCCCATTTTTTAACTCCTGTGTTTATAAGAGGACCACAGCCCTGGGTACCCCACACAGCCCCAGTTACCACATCACCAGCACAGTTCCTCTCCTGAGTCCACATGTGGCCTAGTACAGGGACTCAGCCATGGTCACAAAAGGGGTATCAGTTCCTCAGGGTCTGGAGCCCAGATATCAGGGAGGCCACATGTGGCCACAACCACGGTCCATGAATCAGCCAAGCTTTCCCCCAGGGTGGGACCAAGGAGCTACGGTCCATGAGTTCTGCTCTCCAGCCCCAGGAGGTAGGTGGCAGAGTCCCCATTTTACAGGCGTGGAGCCTGATGGGCCTCAGCCACCACCCTCCACTGGCCATTTCATCTGAATTCTGGTCCTGAGGCTACCCCCTGTCCAGGGTTCTACAGGAAACTAGCAAAGGGATATGCCCTCGGCAGCTATTTTTCTGTAAAGCGAGGCAGCTACATGTGAGGACCACTCATCTCCATTTCCTTGAAACCTTGAGTTTGGTGGGATTGGGTGGGGTGGACTCCCTGCCCTTGCTCAGAGATCCCTGCCCTTTCTCAGAGAAGCAGCTGTAGGAAATCAAATCTCGCTCCCTGAGTGGACCCTGAGTGGGTCACCTCCTGGAGTGTGATGCTGAGAATCCTCTATCTTGCAAGGGCTGGGACCAGATAGCTCCCAGGTTCTCTGCACCCATGAGACCTTCTGCAGGGAGCTCTGCCCTTCCTGGCCGGCCAGGACTTCCTGTTGTAGTCGGTCCACCTTCCTCAAGCCAGAGGCTCCAGGACATTCCCCTGGGCTTGGCTCATAACAGAGCTGCAAGCCTCTGCCCATGTTTGTCCCTGTGGAAAGTCCCCTTTGTGTCCCTGCAGCTATGCTTCCAGGTGTTGCCCTTGGAAACCGCGAGTCACTTCCCTCTCCTTTGCCCTCCTGGACCTGAGAAGCAGGGGTGGGGACAGTCAGTTGTGTGACTGCTGCTTTTAGGTGCACTTTCATTTAATCCTCACAGTGCCTTATGAGGGAGGCATTATCATTACCCCCATTTTAACGAGGGAAACTGAGGCTCAGAGAGGCCATGAGACTTCTGAGTCACACGGCCATTATATGGGGAGCCTCTCTTCCACCCTGAGCCTCCCGAGCTGTGAACGCCGTCACAGACTGGGCCAGTCAGGAGCAGAGTCCCAGACCACAAGCCCCAGGGCAGTCACATAGGAGGCGAATGGCCTTAGTGATCACATAGGGCACAAATGACCTTAGATATGTAAGTACCCTGGGCCTACAGTGTAGTTCAGCCCACCTCTGTGGAAAACCTGGGGGGAATGTGTGTTTTACAAAAGTTCATGCCCTCGGAGATTCTTGAGCAGTAACAGGAGGTAAAACTTACTGAGAACTTACTGTGGGCCAGGCAGGGTGCTCTACAGGTATCAACTCCTCGAGTTCTCATAGGAGGTGGGTACCATTATCATTAATCTCATTTCCCAGGTGAAGAAACTCAGGCACAGAGAGGTTTAGTTGCCCAGGGCCACACAGGAGGAAGGGCAGAGCTGGGATTTGCACACTGACATTCTGACCCCAGACGGGCTTAGGGCACAACACTGTCACCAACCAATGGATGCTTTTAAGCTCCTTGCCTTTGGAGCACATGAGGAAGTGCTTGCCCCAGTCCCAGCTTGTACACAGGGTGCCAAGTACCTGCATCTGGGTCGAGCGAACCCTGTTGAATTGAATTGAATTTTGAGCCGTTGGGATCTGACATGCTCTCATCAGGCCTTGGGCAGCAGCCCTAAGTCTTCTCTTCCTGTATTATAATAAAACTCAGCTCGGGGAATCTGAAATTTCCGGAGCTGCAGGACTGCTTCTTACCCCACCCCCGTCTTCCTCAGTTCTCCAAAGCACCTGGCTGGAAGGAGAGAGGTCTGTTCCGTGTCTCTAAACCCAGAAAGAGGGTACTGCACAAACGGAACTGTAGAAAACTCCATGTACCCGTCTTTCCTCTTGGCCCCTCAGACCATCGAGGGAAGCAGGGGAGAAACTGCAGGTGCTCCGGGCTCCTTTACACGTGAAATTCCATACCCAGTGCCCCAGACACGCAGCACTTTATGGTGCCTTACACAGTCGTGGGAAGGGCACTTCAATCTAGGCACCCCCAGTGACTCCAGAGTCCATGCACTGATCTGGTTGGCACTGCCACCACTCCAGAACCAGGGGGTGGGGAGCCAGAATACATCAGAACTGTTGAGTTCGAGAGCTCAGCACCAGAGCTGTGAGCCGGGACAGCTGCTACAGCTGTGTCTTGACTCCCATAGCAACATGAACGACTGGTCATGCTGGACAGGCCTCCGGGATTGTCTCTGATGCCCACTCACCTGGTGCCTGGGCATGGATGCCCTGCAGTGCATCGGAAGCAGCAGGAAGGTGACCTGACCCTGTCTCAGTTCTCTTCAAATCAGGGAGCCTGTTAGGAGTCCTGAACTCTAGCTGCAAGGGACTCGGAGAGAGGCCTCTGCAGACACTGGCAGGAGGTTGGAATCGGGCTGCTAAAGGCCAGCTCAGCATGCCCACTCCCGTGTTGTTGTGCAGCTTGGGGAAAAGCAATAAAACCAGCCTCAACAGGTGACTTGACTTAGACCAGACCTGGCGAGGGATGTGGCTTTCAGCCTCAGAGTGGGGCAGAGGAGGTCAGTGCCCCAACCCTCAGCTTGGCAGACGCATCCTTCACCAGGCACCTGCCCGGCCCCAGCACTGCGCTAAGCACTTACGTTCAGTACTTAGAGTCTGCGCACAGCCCAGCTAGATGGCTGGCATGGTCCCCACTTCAGAGCTGAGGAAAGGAGGGCTCAGGAAGCCACACACAGGTGAGCAGGTGCCACGGGCAGGGCTGGTACTGGTGCCCCGGTCTACCTGTCTCCAAAGTGCCGTCCTCCGCCTGGTCGCAGTGCTGACTTTGGCAAGAGGGCCCTCTGCTGAGTCGGAATGTCCGCTCTGGGTTGGAATGTCTGCTCCGGGATTCGGGGGGTGGCAGGAAGGAAGAGGGGGAGGGACACGGCCAGCTGCTGGGTCTGTGTGGTTTGCAAACACCAGGAACCCAGCGGCCGCCCTGCCCTTGCCAGCTAGGGCCCGCCAGTGGGGGGGACCAGCGAGCGCTCTTGACTCCTGGTGTGTCTGGGACTTGCCTCTATTTCGCTCTCCCCGGAACCTCCAAGTTCAAGGTGAGGCCTTCAGAGGCAGGCAGTGAGCTCCGTATTTTTGCTTTTCTTTAGTCTTCCCGTGGTTCCTTGAGGCGGGTGAGGCAGGCAGTTACTGCCATCTCACAGATGAGGACATGGAGGCTCAGAGAGGTCAGGGGTCCCCCTGCTGCCACACTGTCAGGAGTGACAGAGCACAGGACGTCTCTCTTTGCCTGAAGCCTTCAGATCCCCGAGGCGGGTGCACAGCTGGCCATCAGTTGGGTCCTCTTTAGAATGAGGGAGTTGGCCCGCCAGGCCCGGGTGAGGGAACTCTGGACCTGGCTTCTCTGTTGACTAGGAGATTCTGGTCTGCAGGGCTGGTCTGCGCCACCCCCTGCCCCTGCACCATGTCACCTGACTGTGCCATGGTGAACCAAGCCAAGGCCACCTCCTTGGGAAAGGCCTCCCACAGCCCCCAGGAGCTCCGCAGGTCTCCACGCTGGGCTTCCAGGCACCTCTTCCACGCTGCAGTGCGCCCAGTCCTGACTGCCCACGTCCTCATGTCAGGCCTCAGCAGGGCCCACCCCTGACCCTGCTGAGGCCTAACCTTTTCTCTCCCATCTTCCCTTTCCTCCCCAACCCCAGCACAGCTGCTCAGTTTAATTATAGTCCTAACCCCATCTGCTTCCCATGGGGTCCCCCCTTGGCCCCCTCTTGCTTTCAAGATTAAAACTCACCCTCTGGGAGTCAGATGGCATCACCAAGAAGCTTACTGTTGGACTCCTGGGTCTGCCACTTCCTAGCTGTTGACCTTGGGCACGTCAGCTTACCTCTGTGAGCCTGTTGGGGTCTTTGTAAAACCACCCCCCCAGTGCTTGACAATAGTAGGTACTCAATAAGTGGAAGTTAATGTGGTTGTTAATGTTGATGACAATCGCTAAAATTTAATGCTTTCTCTGCATCAGTCATTGTTCCAAACAAATCACATGCTGGCTCACTTTCAGTCTCACAATAGCCCTGGGAGGTAGGAACTGTTATCCCCATTTTACAGATGAGAAAACTGAGCTACAGAGAGACTTTCCCAGGTTCACACAGGTAGCATATGCCAGAGCTGGGATTTCA